TTGTTCACCTTAAAAACCTGGATAAGTGGTCACTTTTTCAGCCCTGAGTATGTGGAGATTTCTGTCAGCCATAACAAGTCCCACCAATGGATTATGGCATATAGCCTGAGAGGGAAAACCCAGGGCAAGATTGTTTCTCAGGGTGATTTTTCTCTGTAAAACCAGCATATTTAAAAGGTTGCATGGATTAAATAAATTGATTTCCTCCCTTTTTTATATCAGTTACCAGTACAAAGCTGCACATTTTTCTTTCTCTTTCTTAAATTCTTCCAGATTCCTAGTTTAACCAACATGTCTTCAAGATGCAGCATTAAACATGTACATCTCCTGACCTTTCCTTGAACCTCCTGCTACTGGTTGCTCATTAAGCTTGACATCTAGTTCACTTGAACCTACTGTTCTGTACATCACTGTGGGTAGAAGTACCACTTAATAGCATAAAATGTGAAATTAAACATCTGCTGTTGGGCCTGCAGATGGGGTAGCGATTGTTTTGCCCTCGAGCAAGGCATTTGCTACGGACAGCTGCATTTGGAGGGCATGAGTAGCCAGTGCGGTTAATGAGTGATGTGTGTTAGATGGCGAGGAGGCTGCAGGGCTGCAGACTGAAAGACTCTCTTTAACTAGAGTGTGAGGAGACAGACCCACTTCATTAAACGACCTGTCTCGGTAAACACCGACTGCCTCCAGGACTGGCTGGAGTGACTGAGTGACTGAGTGTAGCCATCTGCATGCAGAGAGACACACATTCATCCACACAAACTTTCCCATCTCTCTCTCTCTCTCTCCCTATGGCTCTTATTTTATGAGTCTCCGTAAGACAAGGCAGCGATAGGAGAGGAGGGGGAGTGAGGTGCAAGTTTGATGCTATGAATAAAAACGCCATCACCTAAACATCACCGTCGGCACTAAGACTTTACAAGTGAACACTTAAGTCCATTCCTCACAGGGCGTGTAAAGCTCTCTGTGAACACATAGAGAATAAGACTGAAAGACAGAGAGAAACAAAAAGTCGGAGAAAGAACAGATTTTGTACACCTCCGGCTCAAATTCCTCGATTTAAACATGAAAACCATTGTTGAGCCCTCAGCTGTCAGCATGGCTGATACATAATATGTGTATGACCAGACTAGGGCCTGAGAATTACTGTATGTTTGACAGTGTGGAAATGTTACCATTGTTTATTGATCAAATTAGATATTCAGCTTTTCAGAGGATGTAGTTGCAGCAGTCATACGCAAGTAGACGTTAGTTAAACAAATGACTGGCAGTATGTTACACCAGGATGTATAGAGAGAGTCAGAGCTCCATGCTGCTGCTTTTGCTGCTGGTGGTGTTGAATTATGAATTTGTATTGATTGTTTATGCAGTGTTAATTGTTGTCAGTTTGCTACCTGCAACTTCTCCTGTATGATTGTGGTAGATGATTCTACCATATTTGATCAGGTCTCTTGTTGAGGGAAACATCTATTTGCTTGTTTCTGGTGAAAATTAAAAAGCTTTGTTTTGTTTAAAATTATGCCTATTCAGGGATTGCGGTCTTTAGTGGTCTAAGACGAATATCATATAACAGCATTGTCGCTGGTTCGATTCAGGCGGGGGACCTACATTGCATGTCCCCTTTCTTTATGCCACATTTCTTTTCATTGTAATAAAAGAAAAATAAAGAAATTATCTTTAGAAATATATATTTATTATTATGTTATATATTTTTCGAGACCATATTGTCTGTGTAGCTGTCCTCCATTTGTCCATCATTCACAAATCCAGACCTAAATCTTTAAATCAAGATGTCTGTAAGAGATTTGAATGGAAAAATCAACTTTCCCACGTCAAAACCCATGAAGAGACTCTTTGAAAACCACCACCTAACAAGCTTTCTGTCTGCATCCTAATGTTGTTAGCCATGAGGAAAATCAGCAGTCAACAGCCGAATTCCTCGAGTCTGAGACAAGCTGACTGTCTTCCCATCCTCATGGCCAGAGGGTACATCTGAGTCTGGGTCAGGTCTGATGGTCAGCACAGATTATCTGTTCGGAGTCTTTTCACATTTCTGATATGATCGACCTGGTGTGAAAAATCCTGAACATACTCTGAAGTTTCCAGGGAAAGTAAAGTAGAGAAGTAGAGGTTACGCAGAAGTGGGTCTGATTTTTGATTATTTTTCCGTTTGAGAAGTCCAGACAACACTGATGTTATAGAAATCAGCATGTAACTGCAATTATCATTACAAGATAAGTTTATGACTATGTCAGGGGTGACTGTATAAACCCAATTATCATCAGTATGTGATTTTCACTTGCTAGAATAATTTTATGATAAAAGGTTGAAATGTACTTCTGCTACATCTACATTTTATTGCACCTTATTCTTCTTTTCTGTGGATAAAACACAGATCTTTATTATTGAAGTTTATGGAAATGTCCCTCTGCCTGCCATGTCGGCTGATACTTGAGAGTAAATTCAGCTTTGTTGAACCACTTATCTGTGGATTATTTTGTGTAGTTCGACTGCATGATAGTGATAGCAGCACAAAGTGTGCTCTACTTCAGAAAACCAAATGGTGGGACAGAATGTTTTGTGTATTGCATTTTGGTCTATTGAGGCCAGATACCTTAAAAACCTTTCATATCATCAAACTCTGTCTATAGCTGCTAGAAATAACTGTATGTGCACTTTGACGGTTGAACTGCTCACAACTCCTAGATCTGCACGAGTAGGCATTGCTAGGCTCTGAAGGGTCACGAGCTAAAATGGTTTGGGAGGAGTCAAACTTAGAACTGAGAGACAATCTGCAACACAACAGTTTATCAGGCTTTATACTCTCAAGGCCCGGCCTTGTCCTTGTATAATCAGCAATTTAGTCATGGACTCACCTTGCATCTCAGCACGCTTTCTCACGCACGTATAAGACGTGAATCCTCTACAGGCTCTGTGATTCAGTCAGCTACAGTGCATCACAGAGGGAGTCTGCACACACACACTCACATAGATACAAACACACACTTTGGAGTTACTTGCCCACTTATATCCGCACTTAGATTAATGTGGATACTTTGCAGAACATAAATACAGCACACACACACACACACAATGTTTTTAGAGAGGTCACATACAAACAGCGTGCACTTCCAGAGTACACACTTAAACACACTTGAGATGTTGCGAAGCGGACAGTGGGTGGACAGAGGGGCTGGTAAAGGATGAGGTGCTGCAGCGGTGGTGGGAGGTCCATGCAGACAGCGGAGACTGATGAAGTCTCTCAGTGCGCTCAGTGGGATCCTCAGAACCTCCCAGTGTTTCACACTGCCATGTGTTCATATTTCTGTCGCTGCCTCTCTCTCTCTCTCTCTCTCTCTCTCTCTCTCAGCAGCTTCTGTCCAATCCTTTCCGAAATCTGATGTCTTTTTTCTTCTTTCCCCACACATACTTGAGACAGAGCTGTTGTTTTCTTGTCATTGAGAACAGCAAAAACATGTACACAAGGACTTTTTTAACTTCAGATGTAGCCCAGTGGATATATGGAGCTAAATATCTGGTCAGATATCTTACTTGTGGGAAAAATAGGATTTTCTCTGAATGTGCATGCTCACATGTTCCTACATATCTTCTTTTAAATTTAATGTACCTTACGTGATGGTGCCTCACAAATTATCTGTGACTACACTGTAGTCTGTAGATCTATAAACATTGATCTTTTCACCGTGTAAAGGAAGGCAGACGAGCACCCAACATACATTGAATAATTCACTATTACAGCTGCTGTATTTTCTTCACTGTGAAAGGCTCAAATTTGCTGCTGCAACATGGAAATCTTCCGTCATTCAATTGAGTCATGATTTACAGCATGGTCCCACAGCAGCAGTAGCAATAAGGACAAGAAGACAAAACATTGCAAACAAAGCAGATCAGCTGACCAGATTGGCATTTGGGGAAACGCCTCAATATAGTCAAAATGAGGAAGTACTCAGAGTCAGCAAAAACATGTTTGAGAAACACAGATATGCATCCTTTGTTGTGGTTTCACAGTGTGCTTCACTAGCACAAAGTGTACAGAAATGACATTCAAGAAAAGATAGAAACAGTTATTTAAAAGTGTTCACAGTACATGTTCATGTTAGGAAATGAAATTTTGCTCTGTATTTACATAAAGTTGAGAGACCTGCAAGAAAAGAACGGTCGATATTAACGCAGCAGCAGCTATGATATCCTAACTTCGATTTTCTATGGGTCAAGCTCCAAAATGTCTGATCCTACACTTCCCATAAAGCAGCTAGTTTGTGTCTTTCATTAGACGCTCTGTGCCTCCAGGATCAACAAAAAGGCAATCCAGGCATTCCCAAAAATAGCAACGTGGAAGGAATATATTAAAAAGCCTTTACTGTAATTGCTAAATGATTAAAAAAGCCAACATGTTTTGACCACTGTAGGTCTTCATCAGGGCTTTAAACAAACAACGCCTCGCCATGCCTGCAGTCTATAACACCAGCTTTCTGTTGGACATTTGTAGGGATTAGTCTTTCTCATGTCAAATCAGTGGAAGGCCTCTTTAAATTGCATCACCACTAATCATGGAATAACTAATCAACTTTGCATAGCCTAAATGAGGTTTTAGACAGATAAATTAAGCTCAGACACAATAATTAATCATGCATTTGCTCAGAAGCTGTGTGCATTCAAGCAAAGAGGCATAAAACACTGCAGCCCAGTAATCCACTGGGACAGGTTAATGTAAAAATCAATCATGCGCTCATATCCATCTAAAGATATGTATTGCACCTATTTGCAGCAGCGTAAACCTCCTCTCTCCTCCTACAGGTATGACTACGTGGAGGTTTACAACGGCGGGGACGAGCTTTCACCCATGTTGGGGAAGTTTTGCGGGAAGATTGCACCGTCGCCTATCATCTCCAGCGGCAGCCAGCTCCTCATCAAGTTCGTCTCTGACTATGAAACACACGGGGCGGGGTTCTCTGTTCGCTACGAGGTCTTCAAGACAGGTGTGTACTGGTCTGCTGTTTCATGATATAACCATTGTAACGTCCTTGTTGTAGCTGCTTGTATTGGACAGCAGCTTCAGCTAAAAGCCAATAGAGCCTGCTGTTTTCTACACACTCCGCTGAATGTGATAAATCGCCTGATGGAAAACAGCCGATTTAAATTCAATTGTAGTTTAGCCAGGTTTCCACAGGTTTGTTATGTAGCTTTTGGATCGATCTCATGGATCACCTCGCTATACACATAATGAAAAATAATCAGCAATGATTACATTTTACATATTTCCTCTGTGGCTTAAAGGGAAATCTGGTGCCATACAACCTGTTTTTATTCACTGAGTGTTGGCATCTTTCTTACGTATACGTAAAGGTAAGGTAAAAAGACATCTGAGATGGTCATACAGGTTGGAAACAAACAATCAAGGTTAGCCTAACTTACATGGAAGAGAAAATTAAGAAAAACTGTCAAATTGAATTACCACTGGGCCTTTTAACTATACCAGCGTCATAACATATCATAACTCAAGAAAAGGATGCTAGCCTGGACCGCGAGGTCAGCTCGAACAGCCGTACGTGGAGCTCGATGTTGGCTTCAGTTCAGTTAGGTTAACAAAGAGACAGAAACTAAAACTACTTCAGGGATGAGGTTGATCATTAATTCTCATCACGGTCTCAATAAAAGTTTTCTATGTACGTTCATCTGCAGCACACCACTCTCTAGCATCCATATCTCTTCTCTCCATTTCTTTCTCCTCTGCCCTCAGGCCAGCTCATATTAGCTAAAACCCTCCCTCACAAGCGTGACAGCCAATCAAAAATAACAAATGATAACCTGTATGACAATAGTCTTAATACATGTCTGGAGGGGATCTTTAACATAACTGTGCAATTAGGGATTACTGACTTTTTGGGCGCACTCACTGTCAGTTTTTTCTCAAATAAAGTGTTTTTAGATAATCTAGCTAATTGGCTCATTTATAACCCGTCTGATCATCTGACTGCTCGTTTCTTGCATCCTTGATTTTGTCCTGTTTCCAGATCCCAGTGTTATGATAAGCAATAGAAATGAGACAATAAGACCAAAGTTGTAAAATATAATAAAATCAAATCTGAATTATTCTTTAAATTACACACAACAAAAGCATTTTTTTTTATTGGATTGTTGGTCAAACAGTAACCAGCATCCTAAAATACCGTTTCAGAGAATATTAATATATGTCCACAGTCTTGTCCAAGGTTGTCCAAACAGCCTGAGGTTAACCCTCTGGTACACTGACCTCTGCTAGTCAAATGAACTCAAAGACCCAGAATTCCATTGGAGGGACAGTGAGTCCCAGCTGGGGCAGGATGCTAGCAGGATAGACCTACATAAACAGGGCCCGTCAAGGAAGGAACCTTGCTCCCATGTCCTACATTTGTATTTGCTCTTCCCCCTTGGGTCCACTTGAGTAGCTGCCAAACGGCGAGTCTCCTGTGACCACTTCAGTTTCCACCAACGGGGACTGGAGATAAATCAGATAAAGAGGGAACATGCGTTTACGTGAGATCTCTCATCTTCTCTTTTTTTTTTTTGTTTGCACCCCTGAGAGCAATCACCATTCACGGAATTACAGGGTCCAGAAATAACAATCCCCAGGTGGACTTCCGTTTGAAAAGAACTGTATTGTATTATGAAAAATGGATAGGCAGGTGCTTTTTTTGTACTTGAATGAGGAGTAAGGAAGTAATATGAGCAGAGTCGGGGGCCCTTTTCACAGCGGAGCTCCTCCAGGCTCTGCACTGCAGTCTGTTCTCTCAAAGCTACAAAGTACAGCCCTAATTCAGATACACCCTTTCAATTCTGCTTGTATCGACTTTAATTTCAGAGTGCAAAGTGGAGCTGTGACCGATGAATGACAGGATGTTATTAGAAAGTCAGTGTAATAAATCTTTAAAAGTAGGTCAGCAGAGCATTATCTCAGAAGGAACGTTGGTCCGGAACATTTTCCTGGTGGGATTTCGTACAGATATAGTTTCCATAATAGATGTGTGATGATTTCCATTTGAGCTTTGATCGCTGATGCATTGATTAAACTGGTGCTGCAGTCTGGGTCAGCATGCCAGTTACTTTCAGTAACTTTTTTATCTGTTTTTATGAAATAGACACCTGTGATGGTGATGAAAATTAAATAGAACAAGGATAAACCATCCATTTATGTAGGTAAATGGAATTTAAAGGGTCACTTTGTTCAGTTCCACTTCCTCTAGTGTTAATTAGCCAAAAATATATCTAAAAACCAAAATTAACTAGCTCCTTACATGATTTCGAAGTCTAAAAAGACTGTTTTAGGGTTTAAGTACATTTAAATTTTCAAAAGAGCAGTTTCACCACAAGGTCCATTTAATAGCTGTTGTGGAGCTTGGAGTCTTGTTTTTTACTTGATGGATAATTAACTTTGAACCTCCGCTTTAACTGTGCTGATGAGGATAATGTGATATAATCAAAAGCTCCACTACAGTTACTACACTGACCTTATGGTTTGACCTGAGATTTGATTTAGAAAATTCAAATCTGCTCTAACCTGACCACTGCTGTGACTATTTTCTATTTATGCAGTCAGTGGATGAATACAACAAGCCAGTTTGATTCTCTCATGTTGTCTGGTCTGCTGGTGTGAACCTGCAGGGTACGCACGAGGCACGGATGACACATCTGTGCGTCTCTGCGCATTGCTGCCGCTGCTGCTGTCCCTACTTGTGTTTGTCAGGGCAACAGTTTTCCTGTTGTTGTTGCTAAGAACGTCTGGCTTCTGTCTCCTCACTACCGGCTACTGTTCAGCTGCAGGAAGATGGGATCTGTGTGTGTGTGTGTGTGTGTGTTGTGTGTGTGAATGTGACTTGATCTACCTTTTTTATCTCTGTGTGTATCTTTTTGATGCAGTTTGTTTATCTTGTGTTACTATGTGCCTATATCTGTCTGTCTTTGTGATTCAGTATAGTCAGTGTAGATCTGGTTTTCTTTGTTTGATGTGTGTATGTGTGTGTGTGTGTTTGTGTGTGTGTGTGTGTGTGTGTAATGTGTGCGTGCAGCAGACAGGTGCACGGGACCCCAGGCTCATTTAGCTAATGGGCTGTTTGTCCTTGGAGGCAACAGGGGTGACCTGCAGATGAGATGGATGCTCTGGCATAGAAGAGGGGCTTGGAAAACTAGGACAGCATGTGTGTGGGGGAGTGTGTGTGTGTGTTGGCCTCAATATGGGTCCTCTACCCTCTAACAAGTTAAAAACAGCACTTGTACTCACTCAGGTAATCCCCCTGCCATGTCGCTGCCTTCTTCCTCACCACATTTAAAATCCATTACAGTCAGAACAGCATATTGAAACTCGCTGCTAAATGGAGCCGCTGCTCTGGTTACAAACAGGCTTTATACTCTATTGAGACCTCCCTCTTTGTCTCTGTGGTACTAAATCACTCTCTCTGTTTTTGTTCTTTGATCTCAGAACAGTTGTTTGCATCTAATAGTGCATCAAATAGTAAGCCTTGAAGTGTGAAAATACTCAATTTTAGATATCAGACGTTTTTTATATATGATTTTTAAGCAATTCTGCACACATATAACCTCAAAACACTTCATTTATGATCAAAGTAAAGTGATGGTGAGGTTTTAAGAAACCCACAGGCCTACAGGATTCAAATACATCCCAAAAAAGAAGAATTAAAAAGTGACCAATGATGAAACAAAAAGCAATCAGACAAATAGCGAAAAAGTTAAAATTATACATAATACATATAATTGACACATATTTTACATAATGCATGTATAATGAACTGGCTCTAAACATAATGAATCTTAATTAGGATGTTTGTCTACTACTCTGACTCCCAGTTCACTGTTTTCTTGTATGAATAAAGTGTGTATTGTAGTTATTTTACCATGCACTGGAATATTACCAAGTGCTGATATAACATGGAAATGGAACAACATTATGTGACTTTGTCTGGCACCAAAAAATATACAATACACAATATTAATCTCAGTTTCCTGTTGAAATTCTTTTTCTGACACTCATGAAGCTACTTTATAGGTTCAGGGTTTCCACCGGAAACACGACAGCATTGGTTGTTTGGTTCAGACGCTAAAAAAATGACTCAATTTTTTGTTTCTTGTACAATAAATGACTGTCCTCCCTTAGTACCAAAGGCAGAAGAAGCATGTTGTTTAACCAGTGCGGGAGAAGTCCCGGGTGGACAGTTGGTCAGGCAAAGTGTTTTGAAGTTGTTCCTCTTCCTACCAACCGCCAACAACGGTTTCTTGTAAGCATGACCAGTCATAGCTGTCATTGGTAACGTTATATCCTCTGTATTTCTGGGAATTGAGCGAATATAATTAACCAGAGGAGTTTCGGATTTAAAGATTTTGTTTAAGGGTTAATCTGGTTTTAGAGTCAATATCATTACATGTATCTATTTTTAAGCAAGACAAGTATATTCGATTAGAATTGAAGGCTATTCAGAGTTCTTTGAAGCTGCTTTCGCGCGGGGTTAGGGGGAGCAGGGAGAGAAAGTTTACAGAAAATATAACATGACAAGTTAAATCATTAAATATATTGAGAATTATATGAGTCTACAAACCTTTCTGTCTCTATATCTGTCGTTCTCTTTACCTCTCCTCCCTTTTGTCTGACTTTCTCTTCCTTGTCTGTCATTACGCTGCAAAAACCACAAAACACCACCACAAAAAGCCGTAACCCTCCTACAGATGACAAGCTCTGTTTGACCTTAAAGATAGTGCTCAGCAAAAGTGGGTAAATCTCTGTCTAATGAGCGCTGGGCTGTAAAGCTCCTGCACATCCGCCTCTCATAACCATAACCGTAACTCCACCCTCTGCTGACCACAGAATACATATCATTTATAAATGATAGCCGAGTGAGCTTTCCTCAGCGTCCTGGAACTATATTTGCCCCAACTCTCTCGTTTTATTGCAGGTTTTCAAACCAGAAACACATGTCTCAGCGGTTTAGTCGACGGCGGTGTGGGGGGGGGAAGGGGTGAGCCACGGTTGATTGAAGGGTCGTTGATAAAAAGATGAAAGAGAGGAAGAAAGATGGATGGACAAAGAATGAGCCAATGAGAGATGAGAGCAATGTACCGTACTGTTTAAGGGAAGTACGCGCTCGTGTTAGTGACATAACACAATATGCTTGAACACACAATGTATGCAACCTCTGAACAACAAACAATATCAAAATATGTAAACACTGTTACATATGGCAACAGTGTTGGGTTTTTGGCTCACTTTGGTCTTTTTGAGACATTTTAACTGAGAGAATGTGACCTTTTTGGCTTCATTGGCAGCCTTGTTACAGATAAAATGAAAATTTGGAGGACAGTTCAGCCACAGGCCAGGGAACAGATTGTCTGTTTTAGGCCTGGATTCAGGATTTCATAACGTTTTTGACCTTTTTTGTTGATTTTTTTTCCCTTGTTTGAATGATGCTGCCTCTGAATGCGTTCTAGTTTGTTTCATCTTTTGTTGATACAGCGGTTTGTAGGAAGTCAGAAATATATTCCATTTCTTAGATGTGTACTCGCTCGTCTTCGGATCAAAAGGCACTTTGTTGCTCTCGTCCACAGCACTCTGAAAAGAATCAGCTGGTGATGGGCTCCGAGCCGACAGTGGCCCATGAGGTTCAACTCTTGCATTAATGCATGATAGCAACAAAAAAATATGTGTGTTATTAGTTCTTTAATTCAAGGCATTATATGAACTTTCAAGGATATTTTTACCCTGAAATCACATTCATTTCTGACCTTGACAGATATGCAGCAGCACAGATTTCTCTCAAAGCAAAGATCTACTCAACCCATCTGCACATTTAACACACACACATGCACACACACACACACGGTGGAAAGAGTGCCAGCTGAGCAGGATCGAAGCTTGCCTCATCCCTTCCACATCGTTCATCATGTCGCCCTTTTAATGACACCACCTGTGTCAACAAGGCAAGGGGTCCACTGGAGTGTGTGTCTCTGTGTGTGTGGATTCGTGTTTACGAGCATGCTCAGATAACATGCAGGTCACATCTGACCTGGCAACATAAGAACCCCAAATACACACACACACACACACCTACACACACACACACACTACACAAATGCCTCCCAGAGATGATTGACCCTCGTCCGGTCTTCCTCCCACAGAGATCAGTCACCGTCTTTGCAACCCCGTGTCACTTTATGACAAGAGAGGTGTGAACTGGCAGCCGCCGGTTGACTGATGCGAACCGACGGCGAGATTTTTCATGAGCGGTATCGACACTGTGGATTTGACTGTGGAGGAAACAGCTTGTGTACAAAAAAACAACAATGGCATAACAGCTGCCGCGTTCGCCGCTGCTCTGTTTGTACTTTTTATCAGGAGACATTCATGTCACCTGTTGTTACTGCGTAGTGGATTTTTCAGAAGGCTTTATGTCATTAGCCTACAGTCTATAGGAGCATGTGATGCTTATGAGGAATTATATGAGCATGGGCGCTGTGAATAGGGGTGCTGGGGGGGCAGCAGCACCCTCTAAAATCTGACATAACCAGTACATAAAAATGTTTAAACTTATAATGACACAGAAATGTACATGTGAAAACTGGTATTTATGGCAGGAAAGAAGTATTGTCTTGTTTTTTAGTGTTTTATCCACTAAAAAATTTTTTAAAATTGTGTAAAATAACTATTAAATAGGCTCTAAATTATCCTGGCCATTCATATTAATGCAAAAACCATGAATATCATACATTTAGTATTTGGTATGACGTCATTACATAGATAGATTTTCTCAACTCTGATTATGGGGTGTGTTGAATGAACACAAAGGCTGTTCCATGTTGTATAGAAGAGATGGATCACACTTCCTTGAAGTGTCTTTCAACAGCCACCACCATCTGCAACTGCAGTTGTAGTGAAATGAAGCTTTACAGGGTCTCTCTCTCTTGCATAATGCTCCCTGTGCCTGTTATCATGAGCAGTCCAAGTCCAGTCCAACATCGTCTCAGCAGTACCTTGGCACATACATGCGTCAACAAACTCTCCTCCTGTGTTGCATGGAAATAAATAGAAACGTTGCTCTAAAACAGTGGTTTTCAAACTGTGGTCCGTTAAACCAGCGGGGGTCTCTGAGAGGGCCGTAGGGCGTCCACTGCAGCAAGGGGAAATACATTAGTTCACATACACAATACACCTGGTCACATCGCGAATGCACTGAAAATAAGAGCAAAGAATATGTGTACCTTCTGAGGAAAACTCCAGAGCCAAGCTGGCAGAAACAAAGCCCCATCAAAATTAAAGTCTTTACCCACTCAACAAAGGATTTTACAGGAATTTACAATGCCTTGTTCATAATCCAGCACAACAGCATCACGCAGTGACTGCACAAAAATGGTGAGATGAATATAAAAAAAGGAGATAGGTAAACACAACACAGCTGACGATTTTATCACTTGAAGGTGTTACGTGCAAAGGCATGAATGAAAGTGTGAGAAGTGAAACATCATCGTTGAATAACAGCAGACAATATTTGCGGGGATTTTCTTTTGTGTAAGTAAACAAGTAAAGCTCATATAGGATTTTAAATAGATTCTTATAGGATAGATTATAAATGTTGTAGTAGGAAAAAATACCAATCAAAGAGCTACAAGAACAAATCAAAGCAAGAGAGCCTCATTAAAATACCTTAGAGAAAAAATTGGTCTTATGGATGATAAAGGAGCATCGACGAGCACAGAACGGCGCTGATATTTGACTTCTCTCTGAATACAAATTATGCGGTCGTGGTTGAATGATTATGTAGGGTAGCGTGTGTGTGCATTTGGATGTGTCTAATGAGCTAATAGGGTTGTATTTGTCTGTCTATGAGCGTATCTGTGTGTTGTTGTTGTTGTTGTTGTTGTTTGTCGACCATGATCAGTCTCCGTAAACAGCCTCTCAGTGTCTGGGACCGTCAATACCTCCCCACCCCCAGTCACAACACAGACACAGACGGCTCCGGCAGGGGAGGGGGCCAGTTGGTCTGATTGGATGGAGATGACATGAGTTTTGTCAGTAAAACAAAGCTTATGTTTGAATCTGTTACTGCGTCTTAAAGATTGAATCGGGCTCATTTCACTTTTTTCCAAATCTGGCAATTTGGTCACTTTATCTGGAACCGGTGGTGGTTTTTCTTATTTCGTGTTACTGTCATGTGATATTGTCATTAATAAAAAGGGATTTTCTTCTCTCTTACTGAGAGATTGTTTGGTGAATCCCCCCATTGTTCGGGAGTAAAATCTAGTTTTAAGACTCAGTTAAAGTAAATCTTTGTTCCAGTGAAGTCACAGCTGTAAAAGTGTTTCCAGCTGCCAAAGTTTTAGACAACCAGAAAGGTCAAAAACAGAAGAAACTGCATTTCCAAAATGTCTGTGCTTATTTTTGCAGCAGGAAAAACAAAAAAGGTCAAAAATATAAGATACATAATAGTAAACAGTATTAGCTGGCACTTGCAGTTGAAATGTTTGCTGGAAATACCTTTTTTTTATTGTTGTACCAGTAAAAGAGCGCAAGTGATATTTAAAGTGATGTGTGAACACCTTGTGACCCCCGACCCCTGAGGGTTCACACCTCTGTCCGAGCGAGAATTAGTCACTCCGTCCAAACAAGTCTTGACACTTTAATCACTATCTTCTCTCCTTGCAGGTCCAGAATGTTCCAGGAACTTTACGGCTCCCAGAGGCGTCATCAAGACGCCGGGCTTCCCCGAGAAGTACCCCAACAACCTGGACTGCACCTTCATGATATTCGCCCCCAAGATGACTGAGATCGTGGTGGAGTTTGACAGCTTTGACATGGAGCCTGACACCACGCCGCCGCCGGGCGCCCTCTGCCGATACGACTGGCTGGAGATCTGGGACGGCTTCCCCGCAGGTGAGGAGAGGGTTTGGCTCAGGCTGGGTAAAGAAAATATTTCTAGTGAAGCATTAAAGGAAATTTTGATCATGGGAAACCCATTTCCTCAACTGACTACACTGAAAAAAACACAAAAACATACTTTTTCGGCTGCAAAATTTCAATTTCTAGTATATGTTTTTTGCACTTTCAATGCCTTTTTTTGCTCAAGACCCTGTCTAAGAAACAGATTCTTATGGCAGAGGTGAAACAACACAAAACCAGGTGAAAACACGCTATAAAAAAGTGCAAAAGGGGTGTTCAGCTTCTGACTCAAACACATTCTTATAGCTGAAGAAATACAAAATAAGCTATAAAATGTATGCACTGCCAAGATAGAGCAGTGAGATAAAAAAAGGGAGAATGTCAGACAGAAAAAAAAATGAAGGTGAAGGAATGCTTGAATTGCTTCGCCACAGGTGGAGGATAAGAACGGGGAAAATGCGATGCAGATGCAGAGGATAAATATGCGGAGCTGTGAAGCAGCAGAGAGAAGGATGAGAAGGGCTGGGGACGGCTTCCCCCTGCAGATGTTGACAGAAAACAGACAGAGATGCAGACAGAGACATGTGGAGGTGAAGGGGAGGAGGAGGGAGGAGAACAAAGGATGGATGGCTTCCCTGCAGGTGGAACCGGTTCAGATTGAGCGATGGAGGGAAAAGGAGAAAGCAGAGGCGAAAAATAGATTGATAAAGACACAAGGAAGATGTGGGCTGAAGGAGGGGAGTTAGGGAAAGAGGGGAGGGAGGTGTGTTTTCACTTGTTTTATATTTGGGAGACAACTTTTTCTGCATATTTCAGCAACAGCGGGATAAATCCGTAAACAGGTTGCAGTTTGTTCTTTCGAGGACATTTTATCACTTCATTTAAGAGCCCGGCGTCTTCGTAATTCTTGTTTTTATTGGCACATTTTCTCATTTACAAAAGGATTTACAGGCTGTTTAAGGAATTTGGCACAGGAGGATAATACTGTATCTCTTTGTCCTGATTGGCTGGATATACAAGGGGCCCACTCTGTTCACATTAAGCTCTGATTTGTTGAGTTCGTCACTGACTCTGGAAGTCAATTTAAAGGGGATAGAGGGGATTTTTACTCTTGACAGCACATGTTTCTGTCACATTTGTACATCTCAGAGTTTGAAAAAAATAGGTTCTCTTAGACCTTTAACTAAATATAAAAATAGTTTAAAAGGTTTCTGAAAATACAGGAATGGCTTTAAAGGACCAGTGTGTAGGATTCAGTGGCATCTAGCGGTGAAGTTGCAGATTGGAACCAATGAATATTGCTCGCTTTCCACGCCTGTAAGAGAAACTATAGTGGTAGCAAAACTCACAACGGCCCCTTTTAAATCTCTTAAACTTGAAGCCCAAACTAAAATACATCAAATACTAAAGACAGTCTCTTGCTACTCATTGGTTACTTGTTGAAGTTTAACAGGCGATCCACACTGTCTCCCAGAAGATTATTTATTTTTCAGCAGTTTCCACCTTGAGCTTGAGAAAAAAACACACATATTGACCTTCCAAGATCTCAGCACTCACTGGTTACACATTTTGGGAATTATGTTTACTTGCTGTCTTGCGAAGACTTAGATGATAAGATCAATACCACCTTTTCCGGACGATAAATATTAAGCCAGCAACCAGTTAGCTTAGAGGGAAACAGCTATCCAGGCTCTGTCCATAGGTTAAAGAAAAATCAACTATTAGCGCCTTTAAAGCTCACTAGAGTCCCTAAAATGTCAAACTATTCCTTTAACATGCAGAAGCTTACAGTAGCTAATAGTCATTCATTTCTCAGCTGTAACTCAGTTAATTTCAGTCTTTTACTTCAAACTCATCCTCCTGTGCACACACAGAGGCTGGATGTACTGAAAGAGCCTCCTTCACAGCTTGCTCATTGTTCCCTCACCAGCCACATTCAGGGAATCAGCTCTCATGAACATGAATGACGGAGACGCATCCTGCTCTACCCTCTGTTCACACTCCGTCCCCTTGTTTGGACAGCGTTTCTCAGCTTCCATTGTTGTCTAATTAGCCGTACAGTGTGCAGATAATGGTGAGAGCTACATACCTTGGACAGGCCTGAGCACGCTGCCAGGATGCCCACAATACTCGCTGCTGTGCCCAAAGCTTTGCCTGATTATTGCCAGGGAGGAGACTGGCATGGGAGCACGAGGGACACAAAGACTGGCACAGGTATACAGACAGTGACATACACTTTAAAGCCGTGCCAGCATACATAACACGCCAGGGCTTTTCCTTTCAAATGATCTGTGTGTGTGTGTGTGTGTCTGTGCATTCAGGTGTGTGTGTGTGTGTGTGTGTGTGTGCATTCAGGTGTGTGTGTGTGTGTGTGTGTGTGTGTGTGTGTATGTGTGTGTGTGTGATGCTATACAGCCCTGTATTCCTGTGTTTGCTGAGTGAACATGTGTGTCAGTGCAGATAACAAAGCATCTCTGCAGCAGGGTGAAGACCAGGATGTAGTTTTTCATCCCATCAAACGCATTCGCAATGTTAACACGAACTCCAAACATTCCCATCATGCACTGTTGGGTTTTTTTGTTTTTGTGTTTGAGAGCTTTTCTTCCAAAGGAAATGATACTGGTGGGATTTAATCAGACAAACAAGCATGTAGGGCTTATTATGTTTGTATTTATTCTTTAGAAAATAATCTAATAATTTTATGGTATCATTTTAATTTAATTAGAATTCATTTTTTACAGATTTGCTCTAAAAAAATCATAACATGGAAAACAATGAGCCTTACAAATGTCCTAAATGGAGATTTTTTTACTCCTTCAGAACATCTTTCAGGGCATTCTTATCACAAGGTTTGTGTTTTTGTTTTTTTATGCCGTAAGGAACAGATAGAGTTTGCTTATGGTGAAGGTTACGAGATAGGGCTTAAAGCTCTGGAAACACCAAGTCAGTGGACCTAGTAATAAGATTTTTTTTTGTCAAAAAGCTGTTTTCAAGGTTGATAAAGAACTTGCAGAAAGCTACTGTTTGTTTATGATGTTGAAATGCTGGAATTGAATCTTCTTCTGCTTGCTGTTTACTTCAGATATGGCCATTTCTTAAATAAATGTAAATGCAGCCATTTTGCTTGAAGGATTTTTCCATTTTATAGCTGATTGCATCGACAGCAGAGACAGCCTCACCATTTCACACTACCTCAGATAAGGCTGTAATAGTTCAACCTGTAATCCGTCACAGATTATTGACTACCTGCTTTAAACTGTAACTGATAAACATAATCCACCAGATTAACAAAGCTCAGCATTCCAATGCGATTGCCTTGTGTTGTTTTTTGGGGGGGTTATTTTGCCTCCAAGCTGAAGGAAAAGTATAATTTCTGTAACATTTATGACTTCATTCTGGTCTGAACGTTCCCCCCTCGGGTCCTCAAGAGGCTGCAGATACAGTATCTCTACGAAACAGGAGGCTCCACAAACCTGGCATTGTTTCTCACAGATAAGAACAGGATGAAATGGCCAGCAAACTGTGGGCAGCCAGCGACGTCAGCACTCACAGTGTTAAAGACATGAGACAGTCTGTCGCTGTGTGCTGCATGTAAGGGAAGATGTTAGCCCCAGTTTGTGCCTCTCATGTTACATTTGGAGCTCAGAATCTCTTTT